AAAAAAAAAAAAAAAAAATACAGATTTCAAACATTCATGACTGACAGGAAGATGCTCCTATAAATAGTAACCTTTCATTCATGTTCATTGAGCACCTTTGTCATGTTTGTTTTGGAGTGATTTTTTGAACACTATATTAGAATGAATTTGGACCTTCTAATAACATTGTGCTTATGGAAAAGAAAACGTTATGCATTGATGGAAGGAACTACTCAGTCTCGTACTATTATGACTTATGTTGTTCGTAATCAGAAATAGTGTTTTAAAAAAAAGTAAGTTAAATTTTAACGAAACTCCAGAACAAAAAAGTATCAACTACTTTATTCACAGCATCGAAATCAAGAATATCATATCAAAAAATAGTTTAGATAAAAAGAGAGACAAGATTTATAATATCAACTAGCTTCAAAGAAAATCTATAAATGTATTTAAAAAAATATTTATTGAAAAACGTGTAACGTACTTGCATATTTCTTCAGCTCTTTCAGATTGTAGTTTACTGCTACCAGCAACATAAACACACAAGTCTTGGAGAGGTAGGTTTCTTTTTAGAAAATTTACCTAAACACAGGGAAGTTCATGAAAATACATGCAATCAAATGAGGAATAAAAATTGTCTTATTTTAAAGTGTAATTACTAAATAATTCATCTTTGCTTCAGCTGTAGCATCTTTGGGTGTCTCTGAAGAAGATGGATTTAAGGCCCTCTTAACACGTGTCTTCAGAATACTTTCAAATTCAGGATTGTCTTTTTTCTGCAATTAAATATCTATTTAATATCATGAAATGTGCACATCATTTAGCAGAACTCGATTTTGATATAATTAGTTTAATTTTATTCAATAATATTAATCAGGTCCAGAAAAGAATGGTGACTCATTTCGCTTAGTCCACTAATATTTGTCTCAGACCACTATAAAATAAATTATTAGAGGTCTCTTAGGGACAGCAATCAATGGCTTTTGTTTCTCACATATTGGCAAATTTCATTATAAAATAGAACATCGCACTTTTCTGCATTGTAATTTTTTAAAGTTAGTAAATAGGTTTTTTTTAAAATAAAATTTAATAGAGAAAATGTAATGATTAGTAATATCTTTTAGTTATTGATTCTTTAGACCAGTGATTAAATTTTCATAATTTCTGCCCATGATCCTAAGTAACTAAATTTAATTATATATTCCATGTTTAGCAAGTCGATTTCTTAATTTGATACAACTTAAAAAAAAGCCAATATCATAACTGCCAACGTGAATAGGGAAAAATCCAGTAGATTTTACGAAATTGCATAAATTTCTTGACACTTGTTACAAAATGTTTCAAATATTTTACACATAGGGAATTTTCGTC